CTCACATTTTTGAACATAGACGTGAAAGTGCACGATCCAAACTTACATTTTTATAATTCATGAACGAAAACATTTTGTAACATGATATTGATGTACCATTTTCATTGTAATGCAATGTTTGGTTTTAAAAAGGGTTTCAAAGGATGAATTTTGAGATTTAAAGTTTTCAATTGATATATAATTTCTAAGGTCAGAACTCCTGTTATGATGTTGATTTTTGAGGTGCACTCTTGTCAAAAATGTTTCTATTACTTTTCAACCAAAATATCTATTTAGGAGTCTTAGACCTTTTCAACGATATATAGTTTGTCATGATTAGATTAGGATTTAATTGTAATATAGTGAAGTAAACTTAGGCGTCCCGCAGAGGGGACGGGTGACAGTTAAAGGGTTAATTAACACTAAAGAGAATGACAGACAGAACTATAACTCCTATTAACTACAAATTTTACATCGTTCATAAGCACCCACAGCTTGAACAGACAGCTAATTAAATATTCATCTGCCACAGCCAATCACCATCATTGTGTAATGCACAGCAGTCTGTGGGTGTTTCTCAAATGGAAGGCTGCATCCTTCGAAGACTGCATATCTCGACTGCCACGTCATCAAATGTCGCTCAAGGTCATCTCAATCGCAAGGATTCTTGGCCTTCGTTTCGCGTCCTTCATTCAGCTGAATTTGAAGGATGCATGGGATGTATCCTCCGCGACCTTCACTCACCCAAAATCCTTTGTACCCATTTCATGAAAATAAACTGACGAAAAACGATTCAGTACTGAGCATGTCTGAATTTATTATGAAATGTAAGACAAAAATAATGTTTTCAGTCATGAATGCATAGATGTTATTTTTAGTTTTGGTGTAAATTACTCACTAAACACTAAACTGCCAATAATGTAAGCCACCGGGAGACTAGACCGCTGTGATTCATTGTATTGCATTAATAGAAAGCCAAATAATATGATTTGTAATACAAAGTATTTTTCCAAAACTACGTTTTATTAGTATTTTCGAGCCATGGCGGTGAGGGTGGAAACATATGTGATATAGCCACGCTCACTTACTAGACTGTCTCATTCTAGCATTTAATGCCAAGGAGGACTCTAGCCTACAAGACTCTGAAGGACTGAGCTACAAAGGATGCAGCCTTCCGTTTGAGAAGCACCCAAACTTCACTCAGTGGTGTGCTCGCTGCACAAACCGACTGACATCTGACTTAAAGCAATGCATGTTAAAAAAAAAATTCTACCCTGAGACAGCAAACTCATTTCAGTTCATTAGACTCTAAGTGCAGCAATGTAATTCACAAAAAATGTAAGTTCGATTTGCAGTGGTGTCATTCACAAAACGACGATTGTATCACAGACTCTGCGGCTCAGTCGATAATGTTTTTTCCTTCATACATGGGAGTCTTGGATCAAATCCCACAGTTGTTAAAAGTTATTCATCAACTCCACAATCCCAGTGGCCAAGGCGATAAACTGTTGCATTTTAATCATGGTGTGTTGAGTTCAAACCCCGTGTCTGCTTATGTTAAATCGTTCTCATCCCACAAGGTCACTAAACACCAAGACTATGTGAGCGCTCTGATGGGCTGGTGGATAAACACTTGCTCACTGAGATGGTGATGGAGACATGAGTTCAAATCACACGGCAGATAGTCATATTTACAGGATAGTTTATTATAAAATCACAGGTCACATACAGGTTGACAGTAAAATATAAGTTCCTGCACAGGGATGAACATGAGATCTGTGGCTCACAGATAAAAGAGCTGTTTCATGGTTTCAGATGTTGTTGGTTCGATCCCAGACAGATCTCACTGATATTAATGGTTCTTTTCATTTAAAACAAAGATCTCAACAAAATACCATCCAAAACACAGTTTAACACATCACGCTTAGTAGCTCAGTTCATAAAGCATTGTGGTTTAATCAAGGAGATCTGAGTTTGAACCCCATTAATGCTTATGTTCAATTGTTGAGAACCCAACAAAGTGCCCCGAATGCCATTTCTCAGCGTAAGTGGCACTAGTGGCTAAACAGTGTTCATTGCGTGCAAGGCTATGATTGAAGCATGACACTCACACAATTGAAAGCTTTAACTAGTTTATTGTGGAATTACAAGTTAACAGTGAAATATAAGTTCCTTCACATGTTCCAGCAAGAGACCTGTGGCTCGCAGGTAAGAGCGCTGCCTCACGGGTTCAGAGGTTGCTGGTTTGATCCCAGCCGGGTCTCTGCGATACGAGTGAATGCTGGAGTGTGTGAAGGCGCGCCTGAAGAAGGGGGATATCAGTACGGTCTCCCCCTGGAGCTTCCAGCACCGTGACCCGCAGCGGTTATACTTTTGCACAGACTGAAAAAAATAAATAAAGCTGCATAAAAATTCTCATTCCCTGTCCCTTCCCCATCAGCTTAGGTTACCATCATTTGCTTTTCAAAGTGACAAATGCTAATTAAACCCTGTATCAAAATGACAGCAGACAAACTAATGACTAATATTATGACTAAACATCCAAATGTTTTTGCTTATTTTTAATAACTAATAGAACAGGGCTGATTAATCCTGAGCCACTTTCCGGAGTTTAGCTCCAAACTGATTGAAAACACCTGAAGCAGCTAATCAAGGCCTTTAGGACCAGAAGCTAGAAACTTCCCGGCAAGTTTGTTGGACCCTATGTTTCTTATTAAAATAAGTAATAATAATACAAATATGAACAAATTATGTTATTTACATGTTGTGTTTGTTTATCAGGTTGAGTTTGATATTTGACGGATCAATAAAGTTCTTAAAGATAATTATGATCGTTTGTACATTTGATTCTGACTGATTGATCCACGAACTGAGTAGCTCAGATGATTAAGTGTTGTGTTTTAATCATGGAGACCTGAGTTCAAATCCCACTATTGCTTACTTCAAATTGTCGTCGTTACATTCAACAAGGTACCACAAAAGCCCAGCACACTACGTGAAAGCCACAATGGGTTAATGGTTAAACACATGGTTTCGGCTGATGCGGCTGCAATAGAGGCATGGGTTCGATTCTCACCTCAGTGTGTTTGGACAACTGATGCCTCGCCGTTCAGAGGTTGCTGGTTCTATCCCAGCCAGACTTCTGTGAAGGGGATGATTTGAAAGAGACTCTGCTAAAGCTTTAACAGGTTTCTTGTCAAATCACATACAGGTTAACAGTGAAATATAAGTTCCTTCACAAGTTTAAGCAAGAGATCTGTGGCTCGCAGGTTAGCGTGTTGCCTCATGGTTCAGAGGTTGCTGGTTTGATCCCAGCCAGATCTCCGTGATGTGAGTGTTGTGTGAATGAAGGGACGGGGATGATTCGGGTCCCCCCCGAGCCCCGGCACGATGTCCAGCAGGGGTTATACTTCTTGACAGAAAAAAAAATTAATTTTAGCTGTATAAATTTTCAGCTCCGCCGTCCCTTCCCCACCTGTTTAGATTACCATCATTTGCTTTAATAGGGGGGTGACCCTCCAAAAAGAAAATGATGGTAACCTACATGTTTAGTGCACAACAAAACACAAACATAAGTTATGAGTCTTACCTGTCCATCAGCGGATGTCCATCATTACAGTGAAAGTCTGTCCACACGTCCCAGAGCTCTGCTTCTGATCAAACTCATCCCTTACTCTGTAGAGGAAAGAGAGAAATAAACACAGACATTACTTTATATAGTACATCTAAACCATCAGCATTTAAAATTGAGCATATATATAATAATACATAAAAACATAGGCTTGTAAACAACTGCCTTAATACATTCTTAGTTGTCAAAAAGCAAGTGGACTATTTAAACAAGATTTTAGGTAAAAAAAAAAAAAAACTACAACACATCAACAAATCCACGCGTATTTGTGACCCTGGACCACAAAACCAGTCTTAATCTCAGTTTTGAAAAATTGACACTTAAAGGGGTCATATGATGCGATTTCAAGTTCTCCTTTCTCTTTGGAGTGTTACAAGCTGATTGTGCATAGATAAGATCCCTGAAGTTGCAAAGACTAAAGTCTCAAAACCAAAGAGATATTCTTTATCAAATTTAAGACTCTGCCACACCCCCCTAAAATGGCTCGTTCTAACACGCCCCCACATATCTACCTCACTATGTGGAAATATTTGCGTAATGACACCCAAATGTGCACGCAAAGAAAGAAGGTGTGGTTTCAATAACCGCAGTTAGTGTTGAAGTTTTGTGGTCCAGGGTCACATTTTTGCTTTAGTGTCTGCGTGGAGACACATTAAAAACAACTCATGAAATTCATCATAACATAAATCATAACATAACATAAAACTGGCAGTGGAGCACCACTACAACATATCAGAGGAAATAATGACACATCAAAACTGAAATACTTGGCTAGTGCAAAGAGTAAGTACTTCAATGTTAGTGCAAGAGAAAAGCACTGCATGTGTGGAGTTACTTACAGTGACTCTCGACTCCTGCACTTTATCGCAGATAAATGTTTAGTTTGTCCAGTAAATTTTGCAGTGTCACATGCCACTCTGTCAGGTGGTAATTTAATTGTTGATTAGCTGAATATATAGCCTATATATATGCACTGTGACAACTTATGTCATTAACATTACTTACAGTATTCAAGAATGCATTTTAAAAATTATATTTAATTTAAAAAGTGACAAGTGTAATTGACAAAGGAGGGCGTAACCCATTTAAGCTAATTTATTGCAGTGGTGCAATTTAGGAAAATCACCACAGGACAGCACAAACTGTTTAAGTTTATTAGACTATGGCAAGCCATTTTGACTTTTATTCCTTCACAGGATTCCATTTTCACCATTAGCCTATAAAGCACAGACACACAGATAGAGAGAGAAAGAGAGCAAAAATACAAACATCAATAACACTCTTTGTATCAATAATAGAGACAAAAATTAATACGTCATTAGACGTAACGCTAGTTAAAATGCTAATTGTTGATATCAGGAATTCGCATTTTTACTAGTAACAAAGTAATTATTGATATCAACAAAGGCAGGTGATATCAGAAATTGCCCTTGCAACTAGTGAAAATAGAATTACTGATATTTTAAATAATATTTTAACCAGTAAAAATACTTTGCAAGAGGTAGGCTATGCTTATTACTAGTTGCAATTTCATTTTTGATATCGTAAATGTATTTCTGCGAGTGATGACGTAATTTTTTATATCAAGAATTCATGTCGGTACTAGTGGAAATGTAATTCCTGATATCAATCAGCATTTCTGATATCCACAATTCATATCCTACATGTGGTAAAATGTTAAAAGGGCGACAAAACTATTACAGATATCAAAAAATGCATTTCTTACTAGTTAAAGTTCTAAATACACACCTCAGCTTTGTATTTATTACTAGTAGAAATATAATTTTTGATATCAATAATTAAATTTTTACTAGTAAAAATGCTAATTCCTGATATCAAGGATTCAGTTGTCACTAGTTGAAATGTTATTGACTACTAGTAGAATTTCTTTTTTACTAGTAACAATCACATTCATGATATCAGAAATTAATATTGTCACTAGTGACAATCGAATTATTGATATAAAAAATGAACATTTGCACTAGTAGCAATTCAGCTGTTGATATCAAGAACAGACATTTGAAAAACAAAAACAAAAAAACAATTGAATTTGAATGGTAGCCTATGGTGACATTTAACACGTGAAAATACAATTACAGATATCAATAAATAATGATAGTTTTTACTAGTTGAAATTTAAATCCTGATATCAAGAATTAGCATTTCAACTAATTGTAATAATATCAAGAATTCATATCCTATGAAGGAATAAAAGTGAAAACGGCTTGCCATAATTACAGTAGACTCGAAAAATCACCACAGGAGGGCGCAACATGTTTAAGTTTAAGTCGATCTGCAGGGGTGTCATTCAGAAAGTTACCATAGGAGGACGCAAATTATTTTAGGACAGAACAAAATCTCAAAAATATTACGATACAGTCAATACAATTACTTAATAAATGATAAAAGAAATAACTTAATTCCAACATATTTTTATCAGTTGTATAGACCAATTTAAATAGACTCTTTTCTCACATAAGTTTTACAGAAAAAAACCAAGAGTATCTCAGGTTTTGTCACAACAATCTACGGTGCGACTCAAGTTAACAAATAAAGGCAGTGCGCAAAGATAAGTATGCGATTTGTGTAGTTCGTCACCACTGATGAATAAATATTTCATTTAATTCAATTTCCTCGCATATTGTGAAATGCAGGCATTAGATTAATGCACATCTCTGTGCATTATAAAGAAAGGTTTTGTGACACTGCACAGCTTTTACAGTTTACAGACATATCAGCACAATTAATCGATCAGTCCAGTAAACACCAAATACAAACTCAGTTCATATCATGATGTGTGCCTGTAAAAGACAACCAAGCTAATGACAATACTTATGGGGCTTATGCTGGACTTCATTCTAGTACACAGATGTGCTGCATTAGTCATTCTTGAGAAGTGGGACAAAACAGGGTGCAAAATTGAAAAAATAAAACCTTGTACTCAGACAAATGAAACTACATTTATGTATTTTATATGTACTAAGAGCTGTTTTAGACGTAGTGAGAGGACATTAAGAAACACAGATTTGGTATAATAATGAGAAAATGAAATTGAAGGTGATAATTGTGTTAAATACATTTTATTATTAATCCCTCATGACATTGGAAAATATTTGTATTTTTTAAAGCTAATAGCAGTTACCCTTGCTGGACCTGTTTTGTCCCACAACTCAAGAATGACCTAACGCGAGTTACGTAATCAGATTACTTTTTTCAAGTAACTAGTAAAGTAACGCATTACTTTTTAATTTACAAGAGAATATCTGAGTTACTTTTTCAAATAAGTAACGCAAGTGACTTTTTTTTCCCAATTTATTGATTGACCGCTCTCCTGTCCCCATGGTGACAGAAATCAGAAGATGTTACTGTAGTTCTAATATAAATATGAATATGCATGAACTCATATCACTCACAACAACAACAGCAAAAAAAACGCACAGATTCAGTATTCCTCAAAATGAATCAAAATAATGCAACTCAGAATATGACGCAAACCTGCAATAATTAAATGTTAAACAACACAAATATGCTTTATGTATTTAATCCCATTCTATTAACCAATGTCTTTGCTTCTGACCTTCGATGATCCAGTTGAACCGTACTAATAAGCAAAAATTACTCTCGATAAACATTTGTGTGTCTTTGATTATTGCTGAAGTCTGTTGATATTTCTTCTTCTGCATTCTACTGTACGGACGTAAATGTACTTTGCCTTCAGCCTGAGGCTTATTCATTTCACTTTTGGTGTGAAAAGACTTTTATGTTTGTCAAAAATATAACTTTTTTATTTTAAAAACAAACAAACAAGCCCTGTCCAGATTTACAAAGTAACGCAAAAGTAACGTAACGCATTACTCTCCATAAAAAGTAACTAAGTAACGTAATTAATTACTATTTTATGGAGTAACGCAATATTGTAATGCATTACTTTTAAAAGTAACTTTCCCCAACACTGAGAATGACTGAGTATTGAATAAAACGTATTTGTAACTTCATGAAAACGTCTGCATGTATTTGACAAATACTGCAGCTAATCCACTTCATCAGTTAAAAAAAGTAGGCAAACACCGCACGAGCGTCACCACGGATTACAAGCGGCAAATCTCGCCCAGTCAAAAATCGAGTACAGCCGGGTACTTTTCGACTCGACAGGTAAAAAGCGCAGTTTCCATCCGCTCCACTAGGCGGCGTCAGCGAGCGACACTTTCAGCCTGAGCTCCGTTAGATCCTTGACAACATTCAAGTACAGATTCTGCAGTGACAGACTCTTAATGCCACTCAATTACAGCCCGCCAGCAAGCAAAGCGACACACACTGCGATAAAGTGCAGGAATCGAGTGTAACGCGACTCACCTGTAAGTAAGTTTCCGCGTGCGTCGCGCTGTCAGTGAGTAATGACAGCAGTCCGTCTGATGCTGCACGTGGATCTGGTGTGTTTGTTTTGCTCGCGGTGTTTCTGCACATCTCTCACCTGCTGCTCCTCCGGACACTTCTTCACATTCAGAGCGATTCAGATCTCCTGTAAAGGTAAATCTGTCGTTCTCTTACATCTCCAACTGAGAGACTTCATAGTGTGATGTTAGTCAGTTGCAGACAGTGTTTGGAGGAGGGACTTGCTCTAGAAAGTAATTGATTGGATACAATTTGTGTAGCAATATGAGCCATAAAAAAAAAAAAAATCAGATCTGTAAAGAGAATGTGTGCATATTGAAAAGCATAATTTCACTAGTATATAAATGGCTTTAAAGCTAATAGAAATATTAAAGATTTCAGGGAGTCATAATCTTGTTGATGAGAAAAATTGTTTGACCATATTTGAATAGCGAATGAAGGCAGTCACATATATGAGTATGAATGCTTACTTTCAGAATAACAAAATGAATCAGTAGCTGTTGTCACCTTTATAGGCTTTAAATGTATACCCCCCTTCTTTTCATATATGATCAAGTGTATTATCATATTACTGTGGTGTTACTGTATTCATGTTTGTTAATAGAGAGGGTTGGGGTTTTGTGAAGCTCTGATGTTCTTCTGCAGCTTCATGTCTTTCCTACTTCTAGCTGTGATTGTTGTAATATGAGTAGAGCATACGTTTCAAAGGCATTTTTAGATGTAAAACTACATTAAAGGGGTCATATGATGCTTTTTTAAAGATCATTATTTTGTGTATTTGGTGTAACAGAATATGTTGACATGCTTTAATGTTCAAAAAACACATTATTTTTCAAATACTGTACATTATTGTAGCTCCTCTATCCAGACAGTGTTGCTGCAGGCATTCAAGTAAAATAAGTATCAACAAAATCCATGCATGCACTGAAGCTGTCTTCAAAATGGATTCATGCATTCATTCATGTTTTGGATGTGTTTTGAATTATTTTCATTGCCAAAAAAGCACAAAAACATACAATGTTTTGTCTAAAATATGAGTCAGTTAATATTAACTTCTTGTTTGTTGAATTGTATAAAATCAATATCACTGTGCAGTCATGCTGATGTTCAGGAAAACAGCACTCTTGCTCATCTGATATTGCTTAACTATTCTGAACGTTATAATTTTACTTATTTACACTTATTATATTTATTTGGAATTATTTGCACGCATATCTTGAATTTTGTGGGCAAATTAACATGCAAACCCTCATTATTTTCTGACCTGCTCTCCGTTATTTTGAGGTGATAATAAGGTTCCACTCCGCCAGTGTCACCCAGTCGCTGTCTGTAAATGATTCTAGAAAACAGTGCTGAGTGTGAGTTTTCAGAAGGTTTACGTACAAAACTGGGACAAATATCTGGGACAAACATTGCGCAATAATTAATGATACACATATCTAATGTTTTCTGTCTTTATGTATCTGTTTAAACTACAGAATAAGGGATGTCCGAAGCAGAGTTCTGGCACATGTGGACAGACATTTGCCTTAATTACAGAACTCAAGTGATGGACAAGTAATGCTTGTATTTTTATTATTGTTTAAATGTTATTTACATATTATTTTTAATATTGTAAATACAATAGTGTATTCAATTGTACTTAGACACAAACCTTTTTTAGTATTATTAGTATTTATTTAATTGTACATAGGAACAAAAATGTAATTCAAATGTAGGTAAATGTATTTATTCTGAACATTTGCAACAGTCCTCATTTTAATGTTCTAATTCTGAATATTTAAGTTTAATAGTTTTATTATTGTTAAGATTCAATTTTACGTAATGTAATTATCTATATTTTTTAACAAGAAAAATGTATTTATTGCAAAAACCTGATTTTATTATTCTGTTTATAAATATTTACATAGTTTTTAAATATAATATATATTATAAAATATATAATTTTTTACAAATGTTTAATATTTTAGATACCGAAGAGTATTCAATTTTTATTAGCTTTATTATTGTTAAGATTTATTTAATTGTACCTAGTCACAAACTTTTTAAAACATGTAAATATTTTTATTTTTAACAAGAAAAAAATATATTTCATGCAAAAAAACAGATTTTAGTATTCTACGCTTTTGCTTTTGCCTAAAAACAAACAGCGTCTCCCTGACATGGCTACTTCAACACTAACTACGGTTACTGAAACCACACCTTCTTTCTTTGCTTTATTAGCTTTATTATTGTTAAGATTTATTTAATTGTACCTAGTCACAAACTTTTTAAAACATGTAAATATTTTTATTTTTAACAAGAAAAAAATATATTTCATGCAAAAAAACAGATTTTAGTATTCTATTCCTAAATATTTACTTATTTACATATCATTTTATTTACTATTTGCATTCTAATTATATTGGAAATATAAACATTCCTGTATTTAATTCTACCTATACACAAAATGATTATTAATTCTTAACATTTGTATTTATTAATATTTGCAAAAATCCTAATTTTAATTTTCTGATTCAAATTTTTAAAAAAATGTTTAATTAATATTTGTTTAATTTTTTTTATTTTAATATCTGTAAATGTTTATTTCTTATAGTAAATAAATACTTCTCTATGTGTGAGGTGGTGTGGCTGAGTGGTCAGAGCTCATGGCTTAAGCCAATGCAGGAGATGTGGCTTCAAATCCCCCGTTAGCTGTGGATGTGAATGAGGAAGCCCTTTTTTTCCATTTTGCAGCCAAAAAAAAAAAATTTCCAAATCTTTTTCCTCTCCGCCTTTATCTCCTGGCCCTCTTACTACCCCAGGTACATCTGCCAGTTAGTCCATGTTTCTCATGGCTGTATAGCCAGTGTATTTTACCACTCCAGGTATTTTAGCCAGTCTGCCTCTCTGTTTCACCACACATAGCCATGCTCAGTTACTCACTGCCCCAGGTGATTCATTGTTGTCACAGCTTTCTCTCTTTGGTGTGATCTCCACACACCAAGGTGGGGTTTGAACCCACTTCTCTACTGTAACTTCGTCCGCACCCAACATGTGTTTAGCCACTAGTGCCATTGTGGCTTTCACAGCAACTCCTGACATTTGGGCCGCTTTGTTGGATATAACATCAACAATCTAACATTAGCAATAGTGGGATTCGAACTCAGGTCTCCATGATTAAAGCACAAGGCTTTACCACCTGTGCTACAGAGCCTGAGGAGTTGAGCTGGATTTGGATGGGGTTTTATTGAGAGTTGTTTTGCATATAAAGAAAAACTTAACAGGTGCTAGGTTTAAACCCAGACTGTCATGCATGAAAGACAAGCAATTATCCACTGCATCACAGAGCTTGCGATGTGTAAGATAGTTTTGGTTTTTTTCTATTATCTATAACAACAATTTAAGATAATTGACAGTGGGATTCGAACTCAGGACACCACGTTTAAAACTCAGTTTATCCCCTGAGTCCGTACAGATGTGACATATTCTGGATGTGCTATTATTTTAAGCTGCAGCAGAAATGATAGCATGAAAGTGACATAAGTAACAGTGAGATTTGAACTCAGTCTCAATGATTAAAGCGCAAAAAAAAAATTTAACATTTGTTTAGACTTTCAATTGAAATACAGATTTTTTTTTTTACTTCTTGGCATTGTTATATTAAAGTACATTTTAAAGAACAAACGTATTCATTTAATAAGTGATGAAAAGCATGGGATTTGAACCATGACTTTCACCTACCAAACAGCAGATGCTTTACCAGTGCACCACTGGGTTTGGTAGGCAATAATGTTTGGATTTGAGTGTATGGCATTACCTATTGCAACAATTTAAAATAAGGAATAAAGGGATTTGAACCCAGGACTTCATGTTTAAAACATAACATTATCTCTTGCGCCATTAAGCCTGTGTTTTGAGTGTGCATTTATTTTTATTTTTTAAGCTACAGCATAAAATTATAGCAAGAACTTGATGTTTGCAAAAGCAGGATTTGAACTCAGGTCTCCACAATTAAAACAGAAGAGTTGATCACCTGAGCCACTGAGTAGGCAAAGTTGTAGCCTTTGGATGTGGTTTTATTGAGAGTTTGTTTTAAATGATAAGTAACATGCAAAAGCAGGATTTGAACTCGGGTCTTTATAATTAAAAATCCAAGCCTGCAGGATTTCAACTTGATATGGATGAGGTTTTATTGGGAGCTTTGTTTTAAATGATGAAACATACTTAAGACTTTCATGTATTATGAAACAAGTGATTAGTAACTGAGCCTCAGAAAAGGAGGATATGTTAAATTGTCTTTTTAAGGGTAATTTAGACTTTCAGGTAAAATACAGAATTTTTTTTAGGTTAAAGAACATGAATTGCCTAACAAATTAGTTGATATATTTTGATGTACACACTTGTATAGAATTTTTTTTTTACTAAAAAATAAATAAAATAAAAAATTGTTAGGTGTAGTGTTTTTGGTGGAAAGACAGAAATTCTATTTCTGATAATGTATTAAAAACATAATTATAATTTATTTTATTTAAATTTATGTGTGTTACAGTTTTGGCACAATTATTGTTTTGGTCTTTGTTCTGGCAAAGTGCAGTTTTATGATTTGAACTGCCAGCACAGAATAATAATATCCATTCCCGTTTAACAAGCATTGATACAACACTGCACAAACAATTGAACAAACCATGAAGTCACATGTAGTTGAAAGGAACACTATTCTCAACAAAGGTAACAACTTAATTAAAAATGTAGTGATCATTTAATAAAAAAACACATAAACAACACTAAACAGAATGACAAATAGAACTATAGAACACCACATTTAGAACCTAAATGTGGTGATTTTGGTGAATTACACCACTGCATATCGAGTCTAATGACTCTAAACAGGTTGCACCCTCCTGTGATTTTTGTGAATTACACTGCTATAGTAATTTACTAAAGTATTATAGTATCGTATAATATAGTATAGTAAAGAATAGTATAGTAGTATTATAGTAAAGTTAATATTGGTCCATAGGCATTTCTCAAGAAAGACAATACATTCAGTCTATGCTTTTTGTTTATTTATCCAGTTCCTCTTTCTATTATGACTTACATTGGTTTGATAGTCTGTTGAAATGAGTTTATTATTAAGATCATATTGGTTCTGCACCCTTTTTTCTTTGCACTGCTGATGAATTACATTTTCATGTGTGGGTATAGTGACAGTATTTATCATGTGAGGGTATAGTATAGTGAAAAAGGAGGTTCTGGAAAATAATGTAAAATAAAGTATGTGAGAAACAGTCACCGGGACACTTTGTAGGCAGTTTGGCTCTTTTAATGTTGCAGGGATAAAATGAATGATACAGTTTAGTGATGACTGCAGAATAATTGTGGGTCTAAGACAAAAAAGCAGAAATAAAACATGACATTAGTAAAATGACAGACTTTACTGTCTCTACATATGCAATCAAACAGAAAGATGGTTTTATAATGACTACAAATGCATATGTGAAGAAGGAGACAAAGTCTTCTGGCTCTCTGTAGCGCCTCGATTCGCTGCACGTTTACCTCAGCCTGCCGCCAACCTTGCCCTTGCCACGACCTTTGGCACTGAAAAGAGAAAAAATAATCATTAAACCATTATATTTGGCTGCATATCAAAACACAAACTTTTGAGATAATTGCTGATCCTTTCATCAGTTCATTGATCTACTAAATCAGAACATAACATTATGCTATTGAAATTATTTAAATGATTTAGCACACTTTATTTCTAATCATAACGCCTTTCAATTTTTACTTGCAAATTTCAGACTTGATCTCAGATGACAGACTCTGAGCATACCCTTATTAATATTCATCAGCTAATCCATGAATATTAATTAAAACAACAACCCCAAAAACAAAAATGATTCCTGTCCTTACCACATTTGTGAAGTGAAAACAAAATAAAACTGTTATCGGAATGTCAGTTCACAAGATTAGAAGAGACACATTTCATCAACATGCAAGAAAAAAAGCGCCACTCATTCGCATGCTGTCCATGTTTCAGTCTTGTTTTGGCCTAATGTGTTTCTTACCATCTCGTTCAGCCTACAGACTCCATCTCAAGAGACAAAATATTCATTTTGAACTTACCGTTCCATCGGAGTCTCTCTCATCTATGTCCAATCAATGTATAAAAGGAATAGTTCACCCAAAAATGAAAATTTGCTGAAAATGTACTCACCCTCAGGCCTTCCAAGATGTAAATGAGTGTCTTTCTTTATGTGAACAGATTTGGAGAAATTTAGCATTCCATCACTTGCTCACCAATGGATCCTCTGCAGTGAATGGGTGCCGTCAGAATGAGAGTCCAAACAGCTGATAAAAACATCACAATAATCCAAAAGTAATCCACTCCAGTCCAGTCCAGTCCATCATCTAATGCCTGTGAAGTATTCATCATCTAATGCAATATGAAGTATACAGTATTTTTTTTTTTAGGATTTTGATGTGAGAGGACGATAGTAGATGGACTTTTTCATTGGAGGAAGAGTTATTATGGATTATGGACTCGTAATTTGGCCAGAAGTGATGGTTTGAATTGAAAATGCCTTGATGGATTTGTTTGCATGCAGCTTTTTGCCTTAACAAGACATTAATTGATGGATGGATTACTTGTGGATTATCGTGATAATTTAATCAGCTCTCGTTCTGACGGCACCCATTCACTGCAGAGGATCCATTGGTGAGCAAGTGATGGAATGCTAATCTACATCTTGGATTTTTGGGTGAACATTTTTAATAATTCATACCTATATATCTGCATATATGAGTGGTTCTGTCAGCTTATGTGGGCAAATTCATGTACTGTATGTGTTGGCGATGCCAGTAAAGTACAAATTGAAGGAGCCACTTGAACTGGTCCTATTAGGATTGAGTGTAAAAATCCTAAACGTTTCCCTGTTTGACGCTGGGATTGAGCTGGACCACATGCTCCAACCTCGCTCTGGTCAAGATGGTACGGTTTCATCGGGCCTGGGATCTGAAAGGAGCAGGGTCTGTTAAGCAGATCAAACCAAAACGGCTTTGTCTTGGTCTGCTTAACAGCAACACTTCCTCTGCTTCCTTCTTCTGAACCAGACCTTGCTGAAACCAGGGGAAAGTGACCAGTGTGGCTCAGGGTACTTACCTCTGGTGATCTCTGAGTCTAGCCAGTAGCTGAGTGATCTGTAAGGGACACATACAAGCCTTGCTAAGCACAAAAGACAATTTCAACAGGACAGGCTGATGGGGAATCCTGTGGATTTGCAGACGTCAGCTGCCTGATTACAGCCACAAGCACGTCTCCTGCCTTCACCCACGGCAGCGACCGACCGATCGAGAGCCCAGACCCGACACAAATCTGACCGACAACAGTTACACAACACAGCCGGTTACTTACAACTTTTGTTGTTCATTGATTCGGGTCTGGAGAACATTAATCTGGAAGCAAGTCACAGTTTTAGACAGGCAGGCCATGGATGCCTGTTTTCACAGCGCCCAAGTGGGAACTATTTTACCAGCCAAGTCTTTTTTTAAAGTCAACATGAAATATTCACAAATTATTTTGATTCTGTAATATGAATATATTGGTGGATTCAAATCCGTGTATCATTCGATCATTCGTTTTTTGATTTAATATTGAAAGTAGAAAAATGAGAGTTCATCTTAAATTTTCGTTTTTCGTTCATGGGTGGAAAAATGAATAAACAGCTTGAATATTCGATTTCTACATGTGGGCGGGAATTAAACGCCCCTTTCTGCTGATTGGTCAGCCGAAGATCAAACCGTGCCTTCATCAGTTCTTCTGCAGTATCATGCAGCAGAATAATAGTCCTCCACTGCTGCAGTTGTATGGATTCTTAACGCATTTATTGCAACTACATTTAATCTTTTTTCATTAAACAAACAGGGTAATGAATAGCTGGACACAACTCGTACTGGGGCAGAGTCTAGACAGGGCTTTCTTCTGTGTAGATATAAATTCTATTCTTTGCATCAGCTGGGCATGGCAGGGTATGATATGACAGCTGTCTTAGCCTACCCTGCTCACCCAGTAAGTCTGTTTGTTTGTTTAATTAAGAAATGAATTAATTCGTTTAAAAATAAATATTTTAAACAAGACAAAAAGGAAGGAATAGTAAATTGGCTTGGGTATATATAGGCCTATGTTCACAGATATTAAATATCTACTGTTAGAGTTATATAATGTAGTCTTGTGTTTTATTAAAATTGATTATAATTGATATCTCAAAAGGATATGCACTTGCATAAGCTGCTGTGCACTCGCACTGCAATGCAAGATTTTCATAAAATATAATAACTTGCCATTTCGGTTTGTTTCTCACCAAACCCTCAGTATACCTTCAGAATGCTTGGAATATATGCCACGAGATGTATAGGATTATTTTACGACAGATATGCATCAGCTTCAAATAAAAAATAAAAAATACTAAAGTCACCATTCTCTGCCATTAAATTGGCATTGGCAGGACATTTTTGTGTTATTAAGTAATAAGCCTTTAGAACAACATTAAGGTGAGTAGTCACTCTAGTTCAGTATCCAAAAAATTGCGACGAAAATTTAAGCTGAATTCTCGTTTTTCGTCTTTTGGAAAAAAACGAAAAAGGAGGCGTTTTCTCATTTTTCTAGTTTCAATATTAAATCAAAAAACGAATGATCGAATGATACACGGATTGATTCAAGTCCTCCTGGGAAGTTCATATTTACGAAGTCGTAATTATGACGTCAGGTGTTTCAAATAAATTTGGTCGAAGCAAGATGGCAATGCACCTTTTCTGCATAAAATGCAAAATTTTTTAACTCTGCATATATACAATTATTAATAAAGCATGCACATTGGGTGTTTTTTTTTCATTTACACTACCGTTCAAAAGTTTGGGATCAGTAAGACTTGTAATGTTTTTTAAAGAAGTCTCTTATGCTCATCAAGGCTGCATTTATTTGATCAAAAATACAGAAAAAAACAGTAATCTTGCAAAATGTTATTACAATCTAAAATAATGTTTTCTATTTTAATATCCTTTAAAATATAATTTACTTCTGTGATGCAAAGCTGAATTTCCATCAGCCATTACTCCAGTATAAAGTGTCACATGATCCTTCAGAAATCATTCTAATATGCTGATTTATTGTTAGAATTATCAATATTGGTGACAGTTGTGCTGCTAAATATTTTTTTGGGAACTGCGATAATTTTTTCAGGATTCTTTGATGAATAAAAAGTTAAAAGAACAGTATTTATTCAAAATATAAATCTTTTCTAACAATATAAATCTTTACTATCACTTCTTATAAATTTAATACATCCTTGCTGAATAAAAGTTTTAATTTCTTTAAAAAAAAGAAAGAATATAAATTGACTGACCCCAAACTTTTGAACTGTAGTGTATATTGTTAGAAAAGATTTCTATTTTAAATAAATGCTCTTCTTTTTAACTTTTTATTCATCAAAGAATCCTGAAAAAAAGGTTTCACAGGTTCCAAAAAAAAATTAAGCAACACAACAGTTTCCAGCACTGATAATAAATCAGCATATCAGAGTGATTTCTGAAGGATTGTGTGACACAGAAGACTGGAGTAATGATGCTGCAAATTCAGCTTTGATCACAGGAATAAATGAGATTTTAATGTATATTAAAATAGAAAAACCTTATTTTACATCGTAATAATATTTCACAACATTGAATTTTTTCCCTGTATTTTTGATCAAATAAATGCAGCCTTGATGAGCAGAAGAAACTCCTGTAAAAACATTCAAAAACGTTCTGATCCCAAACTTTTGAACGGTAGTGTATGTTTTTATCCAATTTAAGAAGGTGCTCTAAATTGAATTATGTATTTTATTGTAGTTGTACAATACTATATTTTGTATGCAAATTAGTTTGACTGTGAAATTATATAATTATTATTAAAATAATAATTTAATTAACCTATTATATAATTTATTAAATTATCTAATAATTATAAAATAATTTAATACATGTTAACCAATTTGGCATTAATACAGACGCTGCATCCATTACATGTTTTCTCAACTCAGAAACTCTGGGCTTAAAGAAAATCCAAAGTTTCACACTTATAATTACGACTGCTGATATTCATGTGCGTTCAACTCGTAAATGCAATCTTTCCGACATGACTCCATATGACATATTCCAGAGTAAAATAAATATTTACAAAGAAAAAAAAGGTGTGAGGTAGGACATTTACCTCACAAAAATATATATTTATTGGGAATTTCCTGAATTGTGAAAAAGTGATTTCTATATGATAGGGCTTGGATGTTGTCATTTCTGGCTGGAAAACCAATTAATTTTTCACAATAACACACAAAAAAAGTGTATTAAAAAAGTAAATTAAGTTAATTTTATGTTGACTAAGTAATTTACGTCTTTTTTTTATAATCTACTTTATGACTCGTGATTAAAATATGTCCACAGCTGATACCGACATAAATAAAGAAACATTTTTCATGAACGACTTACGATTCTGTTGACCAGAGCGATCAGCTCCTCTTCATCTTTCTTCCTCTGGATGAAATGAGCCTCGATCAGAGACTGAAGCTCAGATAAATCCTTCTCCTGACGCTTTCTGTGGATGTCCTGTTGCGCGCACACACACACACACACACACACACACACACGCGCACACACAGAGAGGTACTGACGTGAAAGCAATGTTTACAATAATATAAAGCTCTGTTGTGATTCATAGTATGTATAGCACACATATGTTGTAAATTGTGGAAGACCATGCATAAATGTATGGTATTCAACATGCACTCATTTTGACTCCGAAAAGACTGTAATGGTGGAAACGCTGGGTGCATGTAAAGGTTTACAGTTCTTTGTTCAATGATGGTAACCAAACACTTTACAGTAGCCATTCACTTTCAAAGTATGGAAAAAATACTATGGCTACCGCCAACTGTTCGGTTACCATCATTCTTCAAAATATCTGCACAACAGAAGAAAGGAACTTGAGGGTGAGTAAATGATGACAGGATTTCATTTTTGGGTGAATTATCCCTTTGAGACATTTTTACACTAGATTAGTTATGGACATAATACTTGCAGAATTAAACATTCACATAAGAAAGACATGTGACAAGTGTAATATCACATATAGCATACTATTGAAAATATGTATTATTAATAAAGTGCAGGTTTACAAAATTCAATGTAGTGTAAGCAAGATGCTAGTATTCCATTCCAAACACTGTGAAGCGAATACAGGAAGTGATGTAATTCAAATCCGAACTCACATCAAAGTCCACCTTCTCTCCTTCAGGAATCTTTGGAGCACTGATATTTGGCATGAATCTGTAAAATAATTGTTATCCCTGAGGACCGATGGTGTACAGTCTTTACATGTGAATATATGGAGATAAACACCCCTTTAGAAAGAAAGATGTCAATGAAGAACATACTTTGGCTTTGGTTTAGTCTCATCTGGGGATAAAAATAAACAAAATACATCATCACTATTAATATGACGCACAAAGTACATTACAGACTCCCAGAGAATCAATCAAACCATATGTGACCCTGGACCATAAAACCAGTCATAAGTGAATAAATAAGCTTTCCATATGATTTGTTAGGATAGGGAAATATTTGGCCGAGATACAGCTATTTGAACATCTGGAATCTGAGGGTGCAACAAAAATCAAAATATTGAGAAAATCGCCTTTAGAGTTGTCCCAATGAAGTTCTTAGCAATGCATATTACTAATCAAAAATTACGCTTTAATATATTTACAGTTTACACAATATCTTCATGGAACATGATCTTTACTTAATATCCTAATGATTTTTGGCATAAAAGAAAAATCGATCATTTTGACCCATACAATGTTTTTTTTTGGCTATTGCTACAAATATAGCCCAGCGACTTAAGACTGGTTTTGTGCTCCAGGGTCACATATGTGTGTGATTTAAAAAGCAGTTACCTGTGACCTCCTCCTCCACGGGAGCTTCAGTCAGATGAAGACAGACGAACAGACAAAATTTCACATTAAGACTACTTGCATAAACACATTTGAAATGTTTGAAGGAAAAATGAACAATATTTGGGAATAAGAAACGATCCAGGACTAAAGAAATGTTCTGATTTAGAAACAACTGCTCGGCTGAATATGACGACCCGATGTTCTGACGCTCACAATCATCACACATGCGATTGAATTTAGCTGCTATATTGCATCATGACATACAAACCTTACAAATAAACACAGTTTCTGTCCTGCAGCCTTCACAATGACAGATCATGCAGTTGCAATAATGGTAGAATTTTGATTCAGATCATCACAGTTTGAATTCATTAACAAGAAAATGAGCCGTCCATCATAGGACACATCATTTTGACATTTCTTACTATTGAACAGATCATATTATACACTCATTACATATTACAAAACCAGCTGCCAAGAATGAGAATCTGAATATCACGAAACTCATGCTAAATGATTTGTTCATAATCAATATTCTATGAATGAATATAAACCTGAGGAGCTTTACCTTGTGGTTCAGGTTCTGGCTCTTCTGTTCAGATATGAGATAGTTATAAGTGGTTAAAGAATGAAGATATACAGACACTTGTATATGAGATATAAATAACCATGATATTAATAAAAACTGAAATAATTACCTTGTACTTCCACAGGCTCTATTATAAGAACAGCACATCAGTTAGTTTATAAAGACTGTAGCTTGAGAAATTATAAACATACCATAACATAAGACCTGGCATTTAGGAACAGATATTCTTTTATGTATGTTTTTGGATAAAACACATGAAATTTGGAGAAATCAACTGCCAGTCTATGACAAGAAATTCTCTTGGCAACTGAATTGCAGTTACAAATGTGCAACTGAATGCCACGTTTGTTCATAATGAACTCGAGTTACCTGAATGCAGGTTTTGGTTCAAATGGTAAGTACTGAGGAATTTGGTATCATGCAAATAAGAATGTGTTGTTGCAGTGGTTTGTACCTATAGATATTGTACCTATGATAATATAAAAAAGTAAAAAATTAAGCATTAAACATTTAAATAACTGAATTAACAAATCAAACGAGGGAATGTTTACCTTCCTCCTCAGGGGCTGGTTCTAATATGAAAATATAACATGAAATATTAAACACCTTGTATTGGGAACTGCAAATTTGTATGTGCAGAAAATCACAAAATAAAGGTCAGACTGATGCTTTACCTTCCTCTGATGGAGGCGGCACTATTGAAGAGAAATGATTAATTTGGATACATTAAATGAGTCTAATGCAATGTGTTTTAATATCATGCAAGTTTATAATTATTATTATTTTTTAAAAAGGTGAATTTACACAAAATACTGCTGAAGTTGCTGAAGTATGGAAGCTCGTTTCTGCCACGGGATTGAAAACCAAAAATTCTCAAAATTCCTCGCAATTAATGAGTTTACTGTATATCTTGCAATTCTGACTTTTTTTTCTAGTTATAAAAAAAAAAAAATCAGAATTGTGACTATTTTAAGTTTATATATTTTAATTGTGAGATTATATTTTTATTGTGTGGTGGCAATGGCCTTCCATACTATGGTGTAATATCATATCACTAAAACAATTAAAAAGTGAGTGAACAATGAAATAATGGGTGCATAAATACCGAATACAAATAGTATATGTTGTGAAAAATTTACCTTCCACTTCAGGAGGAGGAATGATAGAATAAATGAAAGAAAGAAGGAAGAAATAAATAATAGCATAAACGAGGATGAGTAAGTGAATGAATTAACTGTGAAAAAATTAACTGCATGCATGTGAAAGACTCTAGTCTATAAAGGAAGAAGAAACTGGTCTTTCTAATGGTTTTAGGTCACATGTGGTATCAAGATTATCTAATTCTAATTTAATCATATTTTGGAGTTAATCTTAAATTTAAACTCATGCAGGAAAAGCAACACAACACACAGCGAACACGGTTTTACCTTCCTCTTCCGTTTCCTCCACTACAGTGTGAACATAATAACAATTAGTAGCAAATACATTCAGAAGCATAAGAGGAACATTTGCATGATCAAGATGCTGAATCAAGTCAACAGATCATCTTTAACCTTTGTCAGATCATTGAGATCCACCCAACAGCTTGTAAATGACATTTTGATAAAGTTCATATTCAGAATCTAATGCCATTTGTGTGATCACATAGACCAAATGATGCGTTAAATGTCATTTTTACAAAATTTGATTTACTATGCAAGACAAGCACCAAAATATTAGATTCATGAACTGTTATGGACAGAATAAAGGGACTGATACCTGAGACAAGAGGAAACAGACATGGGCAGGACATACTTGATATTAAAATGTCACTCTGCACATACTGATATTAGTGCTCACTGGGCATGAAGCTGAAGACAAAAGCTATTCTAAAGTGAAACGCTCACAGTCTAAAATAGCACAATAGCATGCAGAACTTCCTCTGGACCAGCCTCCAGTTTCCATGAGGACACAGTTAGTGATTATTGCATGAATATGGCTAATGTTGATGCTTTAAGCAGTAGGTACATACTGGCTTACCTTCCCTATTACATGGTGAAGAGAGAAAAAGAAAAGGATAAACAGTTGACTTTGAGTTGGATAATCAAGGATACATGAAATAGTTACACTCTCAGGCTGAATCAAGTCAACAGATCATCTTTAACCTTTGTCAGATCATTGAGATCCACCCAACAGCTTGTAAATGACATTTTGATAAAGTTCATATTCAGAATCTAATGCCATTTGTGTGATCACATGGACCAAATGATGCGTTAAATGTCATTTTTACAAAATTTGATTTACTATGCAAGACAAGCACCAAAATATTAGATTCATGAACTGTTATGGACAGAATAAAGAGACTGATACCTGAGACAAGAGGAAACAGACATGGGCAGGACATACTTGATATTAAAATGTCACTCTGCACATACTGATATTAGTGCTCACTGGGCATGAAGCTGAAGACAAAAGCTATTCTAAAGTGAAACGCTCACAGTCTAAAATAGCACAATAGCATGCAGAACTTCCTCTGGACCAGCCTCCAGTTTCCATGAGGACACAGTTAGTGATTATTGCATGAATATGGCTAATGTTCTATACTTTGAAGTATTCTGTATTCCATTTAGAATACAATGAGTTAAAACAGTTAAAAAGTAATGAGTTCGTACGTACTGAACTTCCTCCTCCACGACGTTTTCCGTGTCAGCCATGACTAGTTGATTTCTGATAAAGTAAATGAGTTAAAGTTATTAAGGGACCTTACGTGCATGTCTAAAATTCATTCCATTTCTATTTATTTCAGCATGTATTAACAGCAGAACAAATCCTCTTTAAACTTCTGCTAGTGACCCTGATCCCAGAGAGCAATAATCTTTATGTTCAACATTGTTGGACAATAACAAGGATTTGTATTCACTACCGTGTTTAACAAGATTTGAAAAAGCAGCATCGCTGTCCTGAAGACAATCCACCGTGATAAATCACACTATAAAACATGTGATTAATGAGTGCAGGAGGCTATTTTTGCTTGTAATAAACTACGGTTTGGAACAGCTGCTCCACACTTTTCCAAACAATGAACTTGGCTGATCTCATCCAGGCCTGCCATTCATTCTCTGTGTAAACCAAGAGCGCGTGTGTCCTTGGCATCTATTTTTAAAGCACATTGTCTGTGCAGGACATTGTTCCACAGCTTCTAATGATGCTAAAGACCCGTCTAGATTTAATTCAACTCATTATGATTATATAGTTGTCCCAAAACGTAAAAAATCCACTCAAAAATTGCTTGTAAATTTCACAAATAATTACAAAGAAATGACCAGTTTCGCATTAAATTAAACATAAACCTTTGAAGCAGAAAGACTGAAATCGCCTAGTATTTCTTGCAAAATATACTGCAATAATCATCGTTTTATTTACATTGTATAGACCTAAGTCACAATTAAAAATAGGCTACGTGAATGTCATTGTATTAGGCAACAAAATATCAAGTAATATAGCACAAGCACGCTTTTCAAGCAAAACATTTCATAAATTAAGTTTTTATGATTTTCATTTTGGTTACACTTTATTTGAAGGGGTGCGCATAAGACTGACATGACACCTTCATAATCATGACATGACACCTACATAATTATGACATGACACATATCATGAATATGAAGGTTTTTTATGCATGTTTATGACAACTGTCATTAAGTGTCATTCGCTCAGTTATGTAATTTTTAATGCAAAGATGACATTGTTTGATATGTCTTTGTTATGGGCTATGGTTAGGGGTAAGGGTAGGGTTAGGTCAAATAATGTCATATTTGCATTAAAAATGACATAACTGAGTGAATGACACTTAATGACAGTTATCATAAACATGCATAAAACCTCCTTCATATTCATGACATGTCATGTCATGATTATGAAGGTGTCATGTCAGTCTTATGCACACCCCTTCAAGTAAAGTGTTACCTTTATTTTTTATATTATATTTTTTATAACAAAGTAAAGGTGGTTCACAATTGAGACAAAAAACGGAACATGCACCGTAAACATTTTTCTTCTAGTTGGAAATAAAACATGACTGTTAATTTGACAAGAAAATACAATTTCAGCCATTCTACTTTAACATTTCATGTTAATTCAATGTTACTTTATTTCTTTGTAACTTATATTTAAGTGAAAATTGTTTCTACACCTTTTTTTTTTTACAACAATTTTATTTTGTAATTTTTTTTTAGTGTTGGTAGTCAACTTAATGAACGACACCTTTAAGGAGAACTGACCTCCTAAAAATCACCAAAACACAAGCTGATTGACAATAATTGCAAAAAAGCCTAAAAAGTGAATTTAGTTTCGCACCACTTGGTTTGATATTTGCTTTTAATGCAATGAAATCATACACTGTATACATTTTTTTTTTTTTAAGTTGTACATGAAGATTGACGTAGTACATTTTCTACTTTAAAAATGTTACATTTATTTCAGTGTTACTTTTAATTTCTTTGCATTTCTTTGTGAAATTTACTAGCAATTTCGGAGTGATTTTTTTTTCAACATTTTTTTCTCCTACACCATTTTTTTTCCTTTCCAACATTTCCAAATGTCAGCAGGTCATCCACTTTTGTCTTATTTTCACTCAATATTTGCAGCTCATCAGCTGTTGGGGTCTTCAGCCTATCTTGTCTGATGGCACTCAAACTAATGACTCTTGCAAAGAGATCATCTTGGATAAAGGTTGATTTTGAATCGAGTCCTCGTGATAATGAGAGCAGGCAGCAGCAGCCAGAGGCCTGAGCGCAGCGTCTCTGACCAAATCCACCAAATCTTTGCAGCAGATTATCCGTCTCACTTTGGAGCTACGTGTGTTTTACGTTAATAAACCAGGGCCAGTCGTACTCCATCTGAAAGGCTGGATTACACAGACTGACAGTGGCAGGAATGTTGCCATCGATAGTCTGTATTAAGCTGCATTAAGGCAAATACCCCAAGCATGCAAACCAGCAGCCCCTCTGGCGAACAAGACGAGCATTGCATTGATGATTGCACAGACTACGCCATGCAAAGTAATGAAGAGGGTGATCCTTAGACCTGATTCACACATTATGGGAAACTTGGGACAATTAGTTTAATCCGGGAGGCAAGCAATTGTTTGATTTTAGTTATGAAGTAACTCATTTGGATGCCATGACAAAATCTGAAACCTCTTACCTGAGATCTCACTAGGACGAACGAGAGATGGGGTCTTATCTCGAGGGTCCGGGCAGCAGACAGTTTCAAACTAACCCAAAGCTCATCTAATACAGACCTGCCAGATCATGTGACCTCACTGCTTTGCTATGACTGGCTGCTGGAGCTGAGCCTATTGTCAGAGGGAGCGAAGCATTTCAGTTATGTGATATATGGCTGCTGGAGTATTGAGAAGCACACGGCCACAGGTGTTTTTCATTGGTCTCTTTATTGTGGTCACTGAGACAATGATACAAGTTGAAACATTTGCTCTGTATGGAACTATTGGCTACAAACGGTCATATTTGTAACAAGGTAATTTCAACTAAAAGTGGTGCGACTTGCATAGAGTTAGTCTGAAACAATACATAAGTGTTGAAACAAATAGTAAAAAACTTGATTGTCAAAAAATACAAGCAGAATACAGGATCTTTGAACATTTAGAGACATGAGCGATAAGCTACGGCGGCAGAGCTGGATATTCTTTGTCTGACAAAAGAAGTCAGAAATGATACACGTTTAAATGACAGCATTACGAACGTTCTGCCAACTACACTCTTAAAAATAAAGGTGCTTCGCGATGCCATAGAAGAACCTTTTTGTCTAAATGGTTCCATAAAGAACCTTTAACATCTGAAGAACCTTTCTGTTTCACAAAAGGTTCTTTGTGGCGAAAGAAGGTTCTTCAGATTACAAAAAGGTAAGAAAGAGATGGTTCTTTAAAGAACCTTTGACTGAATGGTTCTTTGTGGAACCAAAAATGGTTTTTCTATGGCATCGCTTAAAGAACCTTTTGAAGCACCTTTATTTTTAAGAGTGTAGCGCTGTATTGAAAGCCGACGACATCTGTGTTGCAATTTCGTATGAATGATTGCAACAGAAATAAGAAAAATTAAAACTTGAACAATAAACATGAATTGACTTTGTCCTTCTCGCTGTCCTTGCTGGATATTTTTGGATTAACCAAGGTCTTGAATTATATGCAAAATCTGTGAAATGTACTCATCAAATATGCGATTTAAGCCAAAAAGTGCACATTCCCTTTCTTTCGAGTTCAACGGTTTAACTTTTTTTTTAAACCAATACCGATTATTCCACATGATTAACACTTACAAAAAGTTGGTCACAGACAACTTCAGACCAGTGTTTCCAGAAGTAAAAAGGCCAAAGATAATGTAATAATGCTAACGGTATGACTTAATGGACTTCTGCTGAATTAAAACTTGCTTTGATATAAAATAATATTGAGAGCAAAAGCAAAAACCATTTTTGTATCAAGCAGTAAAATATATAGTTAATTACAAAAACATACACTATGTGCTAACATATATTATTAAGACAATAAAAAAAAAAAAACAGTGTCGTTACGACAAAAGGTACAAAATACAGATACGGGTGCTCATATTCGGTTTGGAACTGGCTAACAGGAATGAAATGCAAGGTGAAGCTTTGCTTTAGCTATAAATTAACAGATGAGAAGGGTAACTAACATGTTTTCAAAAATGGGATTTGACAAAAGACAATTCGGAATGCTACTCCTCATCCTCTTTTTCAAGGGATCTCGTAATGTTTTGAGTTGGCTGCTATTATATAATTATTATATAATCTAAACAAATTAGTTGGTCGCTTGTTTTCACAGCCTTGATTTCAGTTTAACAGAAGTTACATGCAAAGGCATTGCGTTTATGTTATGATGGTGCAAGACGGTGACCTGTGAATACAGTGATAAAATACATATATATTTTTTTATTTTTCTCGCTTTTATACTGTGTCCACTCGCATAGATCTTCTTGGCAGTATAAAATGCTTTTTTTTTCTTTTTTTTTGGTATTACTAAAAGTAAAAAAAAAGGAATGTTGTGCATTCTCTTGGTCCCTGCCTCTCTGGCGTCTTTGAAAGGTTAATGGCCCATTCCTGTTAAAAGACAAAAGAGAAATTACAATTTAATACTAACTGAACATGTACTATGCAGGATTATGCACGCATTAATAAATTAAAGATTGGAAATAAAAAGTTTGAATCCACAAAATAAGTGCTGTTCTTTTGAACATGTTCTTGATCAAAGAATCCTGAAAAAATAAGTAGCACGGTTTCCACAAAAAATATTAAGCAGCAAACTGTTTTCAGCATTGATAATATTAATTTAAAAGTTTCTTGATCAGCATATTAGAATGAGTTCTTAAGGATCATGTGACACTGAAGACTGGAGTAATGATGCTGAAAATTCAGCTTTGCCATTACAAGAATTCAGAACCAGTGAAATAAGAAGATCTCTAGTCAAATTTTATCCAAATTTACAAAATATTAGGGAATGTAGGAATTGTATTACCATACAAAATATGTTTAAACATGATTGTTGTCTGTTCTGTATGGGATCTGGGTCATATTCTGTCTCTTAGAAGGGTTAAATGGTGTGTGTTTGTTACGTTCTTCATTAAAGGGGTCATATGATGCAATTTCGATTTTTCCTTTCTCTTTTGAGTGTTACAAGCTCTTGGTGCATAAAGAAGATCTGTAAAGTTGCAAAGACTAAAGTCTCAAATCCAAAGAGATATTCTTTATAAAAGTTAAGTCAACCACGCCTACCTAAAACGGCTCGTTCGAACACGCCCCCACATGTTTACGTCACGATGTGGGAAGATAGCCCAAATGTTCACGCAAAGAAAGAAGGCGTAACTTTGATTCTCGCTGTAATATTGTTGTTGCCGTGTGTTTCATTGTGAAAGCGAAACTACTTTGTTTGGCCTTCCAAAAGAGGACGATGTCCGCTTAGTCATGCCTAGAGCTGATCCGTGCTGGTCACTGAGGAAATACATCAACTTCACACTGTGGATTGCCGGAACGGCTTTCACCGTGGATGAAGCGGAGTCCAGCCCGGGGTTGTCACATGTGGTTGCCGCAAGCCTCAGCTCACTCTAGTCGCCGGCCTCCGCTCACTCAAGCCACTGGCTCTTTTGGAAGGACACGACTAGTAATCAGTGGTTAAGTTGTATTTACAACACTGTTCCAGAACAGTTCAACCCATATATACAGATGTGTGTAGCACATTTTATGGAGGACTGTTTCCTGATCCTCAGAGAGTAGACTACAATGCCGGCTGTTCTGACTCACAGACTGTAAGTAAGTTTTTTTCACAGCACACCTCGCTTTTCAGAACGATGAGCTTTGTAAAAATCTATGCGTTTCAGAAAGGCGGGGCATAGAGGAGAAACAATAATGTACAGTATGTGGAAAAGAATGTGTTTTTTGAACCTTAAACCGAATATACACATTGCATTACACCAAATAATGTTCTTTTTAGCAACATCATATGACCCCTTTACGCCAATTCATTTTTGAGACAATTAAAAATATTTGTACACTTAGCTGTGTGTATTTGTGATCTACAACCTTTTATTTCTTGTGCTCCAGAGCTAAAAAAAGCTCAAAGAATCTCTTAAATGTGTGGCGTCCGACCATTTTTAAGTGGTTGGAAGGATTTAAGTTTTCATGACATCTCTATACGGCATGCGGGCGCGCTAATCTTCTACCGCCCCATGCAGTAATGTGACAAACATGCAGCTTTAGCCCTGCTGGCACTGACAGACGCCCAGAATCCACGGCCTGATATTGAGACGAGCAGAGCTGGGTGGGGGAGTCGCCCATTACCCCAAAATCGCTTGGCACGCCTGAAGGCCACCGCGTCCTCTTCTAGAGGAACAAATGGCCGGCATTCAAAATAGAAAACAACGCCAAAGAGGCATTTTAAAACGCTGCAGCCGGTGAATGACATCCCTGCAGCGATGATTTATCATTGGCAGGGATTTCTGGTCGAGGGATTGTGGGTGTTGTGCAATATGGCGGAAACTGCCCTTCACAACAGGACTTCATTTTGACATCACTGATTTTGCTAAAGTGGAACTATTGCAAGTATAGTTCAGGTACACTTTAAACATCTTGCATTTCAAGACTGATATTAAATATTTTACTGTACCTTCTGACCATGCTGCAAAAAAAGGGATGTTTTCCTCAGTATTTCCTTTAATCTTGTTTGCAAACTGAATCTTAAATCAAGATACATTTACTTGATGAATAAAAACACACAAGAAGTTTTGTTTTACAATAAATTGATCAAAATGAAATGAGTTATAATTAAAAAAGAAAAAATATCTGCCAATGTGCTCAGAAAAATCAACTTGATTCAAACAAAGGGGAAACAAGTTTTCATAACCAGTCGACAGATGTTTCTTCTTGTTTTAACCATTAACTCACTTAATATTATACAATATCTCAGAAAACAAGACTTCATATGTTCAATTTGCATCTAAATGTATCTTGACTTACGAATATTTAGATATTTGTATTGGAAAACAAAACAAAAATACTGAGAAAGATATAATTTTCTGCAGGGCATGCATGCATGCAACATTTAATGCCATGACTTTACGAATTTAGGACTTTCCTTTTCAAGACTGTTTTAGGCCTTAATTTGTAGAAGAGCAAATTAAGATGTTTTAAGAGTATTAACTATGGAAACACATTATCACAGTCGCTGAAAAGGGTCCATTTCAGTGGCGAAATCACTTGGCAGCCCCCGCCCACTGAAATCTTACTGGTCCAAAACCTTGCTCGTCATAAATGGATATGAAACATCAAATACATTCTAATCGCATGTGATTGTGTCGCAATGCGCAGCAGTTTTAAATTGACAAATTGCTTTTCATTGGACATTGAAGACTGCATTACACAAATATTTTTGTCATCTCTTACCATTGGTGACGGATTTGGTCTCTCCTCTGCTTGTGACCTGGGTGAGGTATAAATCGATGGAAAACGAGAGAAAGAGAAAAAGAAACAGAGAGAAAGAATAAAATTAACATAAACACAAGCTAATGTGCTAATCAGTGTGGCTGAGCCCTTCCCAGCCCAACCGTCTGCTATTCCACTTATGCCTTCACATTTTAACATACTTCTTTTGTGCCTGTGTGCTCCAAAAAGTCATCAGTGAAAGTGCTTGTGGCCGACATGCTGCGTGTACAATGACAGGAACATGCTTAGCATGGTTTCATACAGCGCTCTTTTTCCAGATTCACATACAAGTGAAACCCTCATTCCTTCCACTGCTGACCAAACAGCACTGCTGGCTTTGGTAACATCAGCGCGGTTATGACCACAGATTTCCCTTCATTAGGCTTTTTACGTCACCATTTACCAGTCTTTTAAGTGATGGGGGCCAGAACTGCAGTCTGTGGCTAACCGCGGCCTTGGCCTGATCTTGACGCCTCGCTGACAGTCCAGAAGTAGATTCTATTGTGCCCGTTCCAAAGAAAGAGCCCCCCGCTCCGAATGACTACCATTATTATCTGTTTGATCTGTGGATATAAAAATATGAAGGCCAGCACTCGTGGGAATGGCTTTTCAGGTTCAGATGATGGGATCGACTCAAATTGGTTTCTATTCGTGATGTGTGAGCGTCTGTGTGTGTGCACGACCGCCGTGTTTGGTAAACTGGATCCCAGTCATGTTGGCGTTAAAATAGATCTTCTCACAATAGGCAGAGTGCTTTGTTAAGGGGTGATGGGTGTTAAATCCATGTGTGACGGGAAAAAGAGGGAATGGAAGAGAGAGGAGAGAATGAAATTGATCCTTCGCTAAGCTCCGCCCTGCTGACCAATCCGACAAGATTTTGCTCATTTTTAATAAGTGTCTGTGGAAGTCCTGTTTATTATATTAAAATTATATATTTAATTTTATTTAAATAATATAATATATTTAATTTTAAATATTTATATATATTTTTTTCAAAAATACTTGCCAAGTCACTTATAATAGTGACACAAGCCACCCATAATTTTTTCCTTTTCCCAATGTTTAAATAAATCTTGACCTACATTTGCTTGAGGGTAAATCAATGTTAATTAATTTACATATTGATTCAGGTCATAGCAGATGCAAGTGACTAATAAGTTCACAGTACCATTGTGAGCTATTACATTTTACAAAAATGTTATAAAAGAGGCTTTTCTCTTTTCAATTTACTGTGTTTACTGTCGTAACCGATTCTGATTCACAGTCTCGCTCCGAATGACTACCATTATTATCTGTTTGATCTGTGGATATAAAAATATGAAGGCCAGCACTCGTGGGAATGGCTTTTCAGGTTCAGATGATGGGATCGACTCAAATTGGTTTCTATTCGTGATGTGTGAGCGTCTGTGTGTGTGCACGACCGCCGTGTTTGGTCAACTGGATCCCAGTCATGTTGGCGTTAAAATAGATCTTCTCACAATAGGCAGAGTGCTTTGTTAAGGGGTGATGGGTGTTAAATCCATGTGTGACGGGAAAAAGAGGGAATGGAAGAGAGAGGAGAGAATGAAATTGATCCTTCGCTAAGCTCCGCCCTGCTGACCAATCCGACAAGATTTTGCTCATTTTTAATAAGTGTCTGTGGAAGTCCTGTTTATTATATTAAAATTATATATTTAATTTTATTTAAATAATATAATATATTTAATTTTAAATATTTATATATATTTTTTTCAAAAATACTTGCCAAGTCACTTATAATAGTGACACAAGCCACCCATAATTTTTTCCTTTTCCCAATGTTTAAATAAATCTTGACCTACATTTGCTTGAGGGTAAATCAATGTTAATTAATTTACATATTGATTCAGGTCATAGCAGATGCAAGTGACTAATAAGTTCACAGTACCATTGTGAGCTATTACATTTGTTACAAAAATGTTATAAAAGAGGCTTTTCTCTTTTCAATTTACTGTGTTTACTGTCGTAACCGATTCTGATTCACAGTCTCCATAGTTTTTGTTCACATGACTGCATAATTATATAATTTATTTAAGGTTTTCACTTGCAAACTTGCAATGTTATATACAAAGTGGCATATACAGATGCTTTGCAGTATCACACTTTTTCCACTTCCATGAGCACATTCTACTGAACAATCTCATTGTTTCCTGAAAATCTCCAGTTCATTCCTATTAGACACGTTAGACCACTTGTCTGAGCGAGCAATGGAAGCTGAGGTGGGCGGAGCATAATGAAAAGTCAATTAGTGCCACAGTAGTTACTCTTGGTGACTTTAAAGCACCTCCTTCCTGCAAACCAACCACCTGCTCTCGTGGCAGTGAGCGAAAGTGCGAGAGAAGCTCTGTGAAGAAATGAAAAAAAGCCAGGTCCTAAGCCATCCTGTGATAAATGCATTAAGTGTGGCTCATCAAACACTGTGCATTTCTGTGCAATAGAATAACATTTACCTCCTCAAGGTGGTCAGATCTGTAGACAATTAGCATGGGGAATGCTTAAAACACAAAACACACAGGCAACGTTATGGCAATGTTATTCTCCGCGATTATACTGCAGATATCATGCTAGTGCGGGTGTTATGACTGTAACTGTCTCCAAAGTCCTAATGGCATGCCTGAAGGGTTATAAAAACCCACAGCCTGTTGTTTGGACAAATAAGTGCTTTATTAATTCATTCTCCATGGGCATATGAAAAATGTTATGTGTATTAATAACTAAGAGAGAGAAAGCGAATCGGGCTGATTGAGAAAAAATTGTGTTTGGTTACCTTGGTAGCAGAGGACCCCTTGTTTTCCCATAGATTGCGTTTGCTGGTCACGTCACCCGGTTTCAGGTCCTGCAGGAGGGCAAGGGGGTGTAATATCACTACTCAGCTCATGTAACCACACACACACGCACGTCAGTCTGAGAGAAATGGCATAAAGGATGCCAGTGTCCTAAAGGCAGAGGAGGGGAGGGATATTTGCATGTCATACCTGATCTTCGGCAGAGAGAGAGAGAGCAGAAGAGAGAGCAGAGGAAAGAAGCCCAGGGGAAGAAGCAAAGGGAAATCTAAAAGTGGAAGAGAAAGAGAGAATGACAAAAAAACTGTGAAGGTACATGTGAGGTGCACCGTTTCATATGACAGAAGACAATGCTACTCGACAAATATGACACGTATATGACATTTAAACTATAGTAATTATGAAGCAGTGCGTTTTATTTTGAAGTATTTTGAAAATATGGTATGATAATGTTTTGTAAAGTTTATTATTTAATCTAATGAATTCAATCATTAAATAAAAAGGATTTAATGTAACAAAAAATAATAAAAATAAAAATAAATAATTAAAAAAATGTAAAACTTAATTAAACAACAACAAAAGTGTCATTAAAAAAATGCTCAAGTCAGTTTTGTCCATTATCTTTATAAATGGGTCCAAGAGGAAAAATGGGGTCTTTTCATATTACATCCATATTTGAACAATGAAGCCAGAGTTTTAAAATAAACAGTGAACAGAGTTTTAAATTAAATAGTTGTAGTAAACTGACAACTGTAAGGATAGCGTGACCAGCGTGCACCCGGAGTTTTTGCACTTAAGCAACAGGTCAAAGGTCCATTATGATAAATGCTATAGGCTAGTGTAAATGAGGAGTAAACTCAGTGCCGTTTTTAGGCATAGGGTGCCATCAGCTGGAGAGGGCGCCAATGAGCGCATATCTGGCACTACATTTAAGCAGGGGTGTGTGTAAAGGCCACTCTGAAAAATTAATTGCCGCTCCCACTGGTTCCCCCAAAACTATTGGGCTAGAGTACTGTCAATCTGACAATTGCTATATGCCATTGGATCAGAGTACCGTCTGACTGTTGCATGTAAAGTTTGCGTTTGGAGCGCTCAACAACACCATTATATCAAAGAACTCAGTCAATGCTTTGGCAAGGTAATGCTTTTTTTAACCACACAATTAGGGCTAAATTCAAAGGCCAGTTAAAAAAAAAAACAGGTACAGTAAAAAGTGCACAAATCTGTATTTTGTTAGGGTAATATTGGCAGTATTTGTGGCAGTCGAGAAGTCACGCTGTTAAATGGACAGATTTTGATTCCCATATCAATGTTCAAACTCTGAACTGCTGCACTAGAACTCTTTTCTAAGTTAACACAGATTTGTGCATTTAAATATATTTATAGCTTCTTTTCATATTACATCCATATTTGAACAATGAAGCCAGAGTTTTAAAATAAACAGGTGGGAATGGCTTTTCAGGTTCAGATGATGGGATCGACTCAAATTGGTTTCTATTCGTGATGTGTGAGCGTCTGTGTGTGTGCACGACCGCCGTGTTTGGTAAACTGGATCCCAGTCATGTTGGCGTTAAAATAGATCTTCTCACAATAGGCAGAGTGCTTTGTTAAGGGGTGATGGGTGTTAAATCCATGTGTGACGGGAAAAAGAGGGAATGGAAGAGAGAGGAGAGAATGAAATTGATCCTTCGCTAAGCTCCGCCCTGCTGACCAATCCGACAAGATTTTGCTCATTTTTAATAAGTGTCTGTGGAAGTCCTGTTTATTATATTAAAATTATATATTTAATTTTATTTAAATAATATAATATATTTAATTTTAAATATTTATATATATTTTTTTCAAAAATACTTGCCAAGTCACTTATAATAGTGACACAAGCCACCCATAATTTTTTCCTTTTCCCAATGTTTAAATAAATCTTGACCTACATTTGCTTGAGGGTAAATCAATGTTAATTAATTTACATATTGATTCAGGTCATAGCAGATGCAAGTGACTAATAAGTTCACAGTACCATTGTGAGCTATTACATTTGTTACAAAAATGTTATAAAAGAGGCTTTTCTCTTTTCAATTTACTGTGTTTACTGTCGTAACCGATTCTGATTCACAGTCTCCATAGTTTTTGTTCACATGACTGCATAATTATATAATTTATTTAAGGTTTTCACTTGCAAACTTGCAATGTTATATACAAAGTGGCATATACAGATGCTTTGCAGTATCACACTTTTTCCACTTCCATGAGCACATTCTACTGAACAATCTCATTGTTTCCTGAAAATCTCCAGTTCATTCCTATTAGACACGTTAGACCACTTGTCTGAGCGAGCAATGGAAGCTGAGGTGGGCGGAGCATAATGAAAAGTCAATTAGTGCCACAGTAGTTACTCTTGGTGACTTTAAAGCACCTCCTTCCTGCAAACCAACCACCTGCTCTCGTGGCAGTGAGCGAAAGTGCGAGAGAAGCTCTGTGAAGAAATGAAAAAAAGCCAGGTCCTAAGCCATCCTGTGATAAATGCATTAAGTGTGGCTCATCAAACACTGTGCATTTCTGTGCAATAGAATAACATTTACCTCCTCAAGGTGGTCAGATCTGTAGACAATTAGCATGGGGAATGCTTAAAACACAAAACACACAGGCAACGTTATGGCAATGTTATTCTCCGCGATTATACTGCAGATATCATGCTAGTGCGGGTGTTATGACTGTAACTGTCTCCAAAGTCCTAATGGCATGCCTGAAGGGTTATAAAAACCCACAGCCTGTTGTTTGGACAAATAAGTGCTTTATTAATTCATTCTCCATGGGCATATGAAAAATGTTATGTGTATTAATAACTAAGAGAGAGAAAGCGAATCGGGCTGATTGAGAAAAAATTGTGTTTGGTTACCTTGGTAGCAGAGGACCCCTTGTTTTCCCATAGATTGCGTTTGCTGGTCACGTCACCCGGTTTCAGGTCCTGCAGGAGGGCAAGGGGGTGTAATATCACTACTCAGCTCATGTAACCACACACACACGCACGTCAGTCTGAGAGAAATGGCATAAAGGATGCCAGTGTCCTAAAGGCAGAGGAGGGGAGGGATATTTGCATGTCATACCTGATCTTCGGCAGAGAGAGAGAGAGCAGAAGAGAGAGCAGAGGAAAGAAGCCCAGGGGAAGAAGCAAAGGGAAATCTAAAAGTGGAAGAGAAAGAGAGAATGACAAAAAAACTGTGAAGGTACATGTGAGGTGCACCGTTTCATATGACAGAAGACAATGCTACTCGACAAATATGACACGTATATGACATTTAAACTATAGTAATTATGAAGCAGTGCGTTTTATTTTGAAGTATTTTGAAAATATGGTATGATAATGTTTTGTAAAGTTTATTATTTAATCTAATGAATTCAATCATTAAATAAAAAGGATTTAATGTAACAAAAAATAATAAAAATAAAAATAAATAATTAAAAAAATGTAAAACTTAATTAAACAACAACAAAAGTGTCATTAAAAAAATGCTCAAGTCAATTTTGTCCATTATCTTTATAAATGGGTCCAAGAGGAAAAATGGGGTCTTTTCATATTACATCCATATTTGAACAATGAAGCCAGAGTTTTAAAATAAACAGTGAACAGAGTTTTAAATTAAATAGTTGTAGTAAACTGACAACTGTAAGGATAGCGTGACCAGCGTGCACCCGGAGTTTTTGCACTTAAGCAACAGGTCAAAGGTCCATTATGATAAATGCTATAGGCTAGTGTAAATGAGGAGTAAACTCAGTGCCGTTTTTAGGCATAGGGTGCCATCAGCTGGAGAGGGCGCCAATGAGCGCATATCTGGCACTACATTTAAGCAGGGGTGTGTGTAAAGGCCACTCTGAAAAATGAATTGCCGCTCCCACTGGTTCCCCCAAAACTATTGGGCTAGAGTACTGTCAATCTGACAATTGCTATATGCCATTGGATCAGAGTACCGTCTGACTGTTGCATGTAAAGTTTGCGTTTGGAGCACTCAACAACACCATTATATCAAAGAACTCAGTCAATGCTTTGGCAAGGTAATGCTTTTTTTAACCACACAATTAGGGCTAAATTCAAAGGCCAGTTAAAAAAAAAAACAGGTACAGTAAAAAGTGCACAAATCTGTATTTTGTTAGGGTAATATTGGCAGTATTTGTGGCAGTCGAGAAGTCACGCTGTTAAATGGACAGATTTTGATTCCCATATCAATGTTCAAACTCTGAACTGCTGCACTAGAACTCTTTTCTAAGTTAACACAGATTTGTGCATTTAAATATATTTATAGCTTCTTTTCATATTACATCCATATTTGAACAATGAAGCCAGAGTTTTAAAATAAACAGCCAATCAGCGATGAAGGATTGCAGGCATGCCGGAGCAGACAGGACGTAAGAGACAGCCTGAATAAAACCACTCCTTTAATCACTTCTATGTGATTACATGACAGAAATAGTCAAATGTACATATAAACATCAGAAATTACTCCGCAAATGCTCCCATGAATCTCTTTCTAATGTTTTCTTTAACATCTGTTTTAGTTCAGAGCTCTGTATTATTTCCCCTTTGGGTTGAATCAGTACCACTAGGTGGCGCCAGATAACAAGACTCATCTCACCCTGATGTGATGCACATAGAGCTCCCGAGTGGGATGGACAGAGTCAAAGACTTACTGCGGGTCTTCCTCCTGACGTCTTGCCCGTCTCTGGAGTTTTATTCAACCAATCATTGATGCGGCCGGCCACACCCACCTTTATCCCAGCTGCATCCTGTAGGGGGTGGAACAAAACACTCCCTTTAAGGTTAAAGTTCAGAATGTGACTTTGGACAGGAAATGGGTCCAAGAGGAAAAGTGGGGTCTGCTTCACCACCCTTCAATGTGAATGAACATCACAAACCTTGTTGGTGGACGCTGGGCTCCCACCAGAGCTGAAGACATTCCCCTTCTCCCACATGCTCTTGATGTTGCGAATACCGTCCGTCACCATGGGAAGATCTATGGCAGCTGATCTGGGAGATCTGACCTCTTTGTGGCTCTGAATGGAGAGAAGAGCAGAGATGATGCTGTGCTGTCTTCTGGTGTCCTGTGTTTAATTTAGATTTATCTTTGGCTTGTTTTCAGTTTGAGAGAGGACGATGTAGGACTCACCTGCACTGCGCTGGTGTACTGCTCTAATCGGTTATCAATCTTAGACACCATAGGACTGTGAGACGCCTTCACAGAACTGACACACACACACAAACATCAGCACATGCTGGTATTTATAAGCATCACTTTCACAATGAAAAATTATAGATGGCAAATTAAAATGAATGAACAGTTCATGTGTGACAAATAGTTTGCGACGGACGGACGGA